AGAGAGAGAGAGAGAGTTTGAAGGGCTACCTGCTTGCCCGCTTGTCTGCATGGAGCGTTGATTTTGACAAAGGGTTTAAATGCCTGGCGAGACCGCCCAAGCATATCTAATTCCCCATACCCCTGCAACTCCGGGGCAAGCCGACGATATCTCAAACTAGAGATGCACCGTTGCTCCTCGTGACAAAGAGCGTTGGCGTAGGAATTGTTTTTCACGACCTAACCCCTTTTGAAGGGTCATGCGCTTTTAAAGCTCTCCGCTTTCCGCGCTGCCAAGCGAGATGCAAGGTCATGAAAACAATTTTCGATCGTGAAGATTGGAGATTGTCTTGCAAAAAAATAATCGATGTGTGGATTGATGCGATTTCTTAATGATGACGAGTATTTAGATGTAAAATGAAATTATCATATTGAATCATAAAATAACATGTCAGAATATCTTGGAAGAAATTAATTAAATGTAAAATTATTTGTTTAATTTTATTTTTATCATTTTGTTATACAGTTCTCTTAACTCGGTTTTACCAATGTAAAATTAACTTTAATCTCTGTTTAATTTATTTTTTATCTTTTTCTAATTCTCTAAAGTTTAACTCATCAGATTAAAGTTAACCTTACATTGGTGGAACTACTTAATGACGTTACTGTTATAAATCTTTTGGTTTTCTATCAGTGAACTTATGGTAGCGTACTCGTTTTATTTTATCATACTTATTTCAGAGGACAAAAGCAATTTGTCATGCTCTGTACATACGACGATAAGAATTTACATGCAAATAAACCGCACGTATAGGTCTTACATAATGCAACGCGCTATGGGATAATAGTCCAATAACTAATATTATATTTTACATTTACTACGAATACTAAAGTGTTTTCTTGTTAGATATAAATATCTAATCTGTTATAAGAATACGCAAACAATATCATTCATCTCATATAATACAGTCTCGCAATGCGTTTTTAGCGTGATAATTGCATGTTAATAACCTGATTATCGCATCCTTTGAAAATTATAAGATAACTTGATATTTTTTGCCGCTCTCTAACGTTATCATACTTAAATATGAAATGCGGATCCATTACGTAAATATTTGTATTACGAAAAAGAGATAAAAGTGGACTTTTGGCCGAGAGATGAAAGTATAAATAAAAATTCATTTCATGCCCTGGGCTGAATAAAATTCTCCGACCTATTTTTTTAAGTACTTTTCACTTCGACAAGAATCTCGTCGACGACCACCCACCAGGAATCTTCAACCTTTTTCAATATTAATATTAGGATATTCACAAACTTTTTGAAAAGGTCCTTTTACTTACCATTAAAATTTTATTATCAAGGTTATCTCACTTTCTATCATTCATCGTAGTGAATCATTAAAAAGATTTCCTTAGAAAAGAAAATTTTTCCAAGAAAATAATATTTTTAATAAATACCTTGTTAACTAAAGACACTTTTACAAAAATATCAGTTATCTAATCATGGAGAAAACATTTAGAAAATTGTAATTAACTTAATTTTTTGCGTAATGCATTCTTTTCCATGTCATTCATATGAATTATTATTATTATCTTTTGTAGTTTATTATGAAACTCGTACTTTGATCTCATTGATAGCCACATAATACTTACCAACAATGAAAAGCTATTTTCTTGTCATGTATCGATATAGACATGCGATAATCATGTCTCCAAAAATGACGGCTATATGAATGTCATGTGAGTAACGACAGTGCGAAACAAAGTACAGGATCATCGTTCAATTATACGCGCAACGTAATGCATGTGTGCAACGGTAGAACGACAAACCGCAGATCGCTAGGAGACGGGATGCACGGATGTCGGCTCGTCCCAACGATGCGCCTCGTATCCGTATATATCTCCGTATATACACGTACAAATATGTGTGTGCGTGCACGAACTGCACATATCGGATAAACACACCCCACGCCGGAGGCATCGCTATTGCCCGTTGTGGAGAGGTCCTCCCCCTCCGGGTAATAACAGTAAATCCCGAGTAATAAATCCCTCCGCCGCGCCGTATCTTCCTTCCTTACCCTCCTTTGTCCTTCTATCTGCTCAGGCTCGCGCAGTGGGTGTACATGCCTGTGCGTATGGATGCTTGTGCGTGGCCTCTTCCCCTTCACCTGTTCATCCCTCTCTCTTCGTTTTCCCAACCAGTTTCTCCTTCACGCGAGCGTGCATGTACGCACACGCACAAAGAGAAGAGCATGCAATTTCTATCCGCTCGCTTCTCTTCGGGATATACGTGTATGACGTGCATTGTTGTAAATTGCTCCCATGCTACGGCCATGTACCTACCGGGTTAATCGAAGACCCCCTTGAACTCGCACTAACGCGACGGAAACCGGAAACCCAGTTGAACGTGCAACGTACCTACTGCACAATTTCTCGGTTGAAATGATTCGTCGTTGTTGTGATTCACGTACAAAGTACGCTCTCTATCGAGGTCAGTAGATAAGATTCATAATTGCGATTGATAACGTACTGCCGTATTGTCGAGTATTGTATCGAAGAACACTAGGAACGATATACGATTGCACAAACAGCGATTCAGTCTAATAAATTAAGAAGATTTAATATTGAACCAATAACAATCCTTTAGTTAATACCCAGTTATTATAGCCATTATTACCGATACTATCAGCGTTTGGACCATTTGGATGGCAGCTAATTGAGCAGAGGATAATAGTATTACATTTGTTATCGTGATTTATACTTTAGTATCAGAATTCAAAGTAGTACTTACTTGCCTTCAAAAATAATCCGTGAAGTATTATTAATTATTATGAATAAGAATTTTTTTGTATCGTATGTCAACTTTAAAGAATATGTAAGTTGTTTGTAGCATCGTCTCTTTTTTTTCAATTTCACACGTCAGTTCATTTTTCCATTTGAATGATAGTAATAATACGTCAAAGACTGACTTGCGTCATTCAATGTTAAAAGTTTCTTTGTAACTTGCAATTTCGTGAAATTTGAAAGCTAAATAATATTCTCTTCTGAGAGAATATATGATAATTAATATATTGAACTGTGCGAATATATCAAGTGAGGGTGAAAGAAGGGAGTTGGTAGGGAGGTTGCTTTATATAGCGTCCTAGGGTTACCAAGTTATGCGAATCACTGACTGTGCACATCAAAGGGATTACCTCAGTAAATCAGCTCCATAATCTCTTCGGACGATGAACAGTCGATGTACCGGACAGCTGTAGGGATCGATCGGTTACCCGCCACAATTATGCAGTCTGATCAAGGGTATCGAGATAACCTTCGTATACAAGCATATCGAGCGCGTGATAATCTACCTCCGTACCGTCGATAATTTTAATAATTAACGGCTGTGTGACTCGGTTGCTAGCTTGTAATGTTCTTTACATGTAATCAGTTTCCGTCGCGTGATATTATTAGACGTGTACTTACCGGTATGTCATCCAAAGATTCTGAAATACAGATAAACAAAAAAAGAACTATGAATGAAGTTCTGAATTGATGTCGGTTTTTATAGGAGTTTGTTGCATTATGGGGAAAATTTTAACGTTATCATCTTTTAAAAACTTCAAGTTAAAAGACATTTCTCGTCAGTTATGTGAACAGCTATATGAAATCATAGTGTTATAAAGCACTAATTTACAATAAAATACATGGTTACATATTCCGCGTATAGTACTATATAATATCGTAATATGAAATTGGAGCATATACTAAAGTTGTTAACTCTAAGACCTAGTTAACGATTTGCTATCTTTTCCCGCACATTATAGTCCTATGATACATAGATACAGAAAATAGGTACAGTTAATTTAAACGTATTGTAATGTTAAAATTAACTGCACTCGATTCCAAGTTAGCTACAGTATCAATTTCACTTTCCAGTATATATTTCATGTATCATACATTTACTGTCGCTCTTTCTTGTTTCAGAGAAGAACAATGCCCGTAACAATCGACGTCGACGCGTGAGCGAAGGTGCCAGTCGCGAGAAAAACGAAAAAGATTCGGCAGAATCCACACGGCAACAAGAGGATCGCGAAAATAAAAGTCCGCCGTCTAGCAAGGTAAGCAATCGTGTTGCGCGGCCGGTGTTAGAAGAAGCAAACAGTGCATCGGGAAGTGCTTCGAAACTACGAAGACGTGGTGCCGCGGTAAAGAGTCCGACCACCGACCAGGCGCCGGCACAGCATCAAAGACCAGTACGAAGAAGACCGAGGCCAGGAGGTGGCCAAGAAGTCAAGACAGACGCAGAGGGAGAGTCTGTCGAGCATCATCATCGTACCGGAGCGAGAGCCGACAAGGACGAACGCCTCAGTAACAGATCGGAAGAAGAGGAGGAGGAAGAGGAAGAGGAGGAAGAGCGTCTCGAGGGAGACGATGAAGAGAGTCAGGAACGCTGCGATCCACTGACTAAGCGGCTAAGAACAAGCCCCGTCGGCAGAAAGCTCAGATCGGAGAGTAGTAAGAGCAAAAACACCGAGGAAGCTGCAGCGGATCGGGCGAGAGGATCGGTGGTGGAAGTAGAGGAGGGAGAGGACGAGGAGGAAGACGACGACGAGGACGACGTTGAGGAGGAAGCGGGGGCGGAAAAACACGACGGAGCTGAACGAGAGATCGGTAAACTTGAAGAGGACGAGGAGAGTCAGTCCAGGGAAAGGGATAGAGAACCCGAGCCACCACCTCCGGACAAAGTCGATCCCGGAGGCGATCCAGCTTCCAAGGAGGAGCAACAACCAGATAACAAATCAGAATCAAGACGGGACGCTCGCGCGACCGATTGGGACGCAGATAAGGTCGGGAAAAATAAGGAACAGCAACAGCCACCGCAGTTACTCGTGAATGGATTGCATATCGATTCGCCGCTGGTCAGCGATAAGACGAATGCCATTCGCGAGGGTAGTCCGTCTGTGCTGAAGTCGACTCGATCAAAGACAAAAGGTTTTGCGGAAGAAACCAGAGAGGACGTAGCGGCGGCGGCGGCGGCGGCAGAGGACGATCGCGACGAAAACGCCAGTGAAGAAGAGGTGAGCTCGCAGCGATCACGACGCACAGAGCTGACTACCACCGAGTTAGGCACGGAGGATAGCGTGGGTAGCGTCGGCGGCGTTAGGGCGGCCAGCGTCGAATCGGTCGTCGAGCTGCTGGAGTCGAGCAGTCAGGACTCAGGCTCCGTGCTGGAGAGGCTGAGTCCGTTTAGTAGCAGCGGCGGCGGCGGCCCCGGCAGGCAAAGCAGCCTGCTCCTGGAACAGCAGCGGGAGCAGGAGCGCAATCGGCACAACGAAAGCCCGATTATCCTTGCCGAGAGACTGAACAAGCCGCCACCGCCGATCGCCGGTCACCATCATCATCCTCATATACAATCTTACCATCAGCCGCATCATCAGCAACAACAGTTCCATCATCACCATCAACAGCATCACCAGCAGCGTTACTCCGCCAATAGTCCGGTGATCCATCATCATCACCAGCAGCAACAGCAGCAGCAGCAGCAGCAACAGCAGCAGCAGCAGCAGCAGCAGCAGCAACAGCCGCCGTCACAACATCATCATTATCAGCTAGCGAGCAGTCCTCACCAACATCATCACCATTCCACCGCTCGCCTGACCCCGTCGAGCCTCCTCGAGGTGCAACAACAGTCTCACACATCGAGGGGTGGCGATGAGGCCGGCCTCATGGAAGTGGAGGCCGGGGCCGGTATACCTGGAACGGGCGTACTCGTCGGTGTGCCTACGGCGGTCGGTGGTATACGGTCGTCGGGAGGCAGCAGCGGCGCCGCCGGTGTCGCTACTTACGGCGACAGCGGCTCCGACAGCGGGGTAAGCTCGCTGAAGAGCGCCAGTTCTGGCGACGAGAGGAGCGGCAGCAGGAGCTCGGCGCTTAGTGTCGAGGAGACAACATCCTCCTCGACACCGCTAGCCCCCGCCGCTGCCGCTGTCGCCGCCGCTGCCCCGGCCAGAATCTGGCACGTGCAGAGCGTGCAACACACGTCCCTATTGATGGCGCATCCGTCCCAGGGCGCGCCCAACGCCGGCGCTAATGCCGCAGCCACGGCGCCGCCGGTCGGCTACCACAGCCCAGCTCCTCCGAGTCACCATGCTGCCGAGATGCTCTGGAGGCAGTCCAGGACCGCCTATCCGCCGCTCTCTCACACACTCTTAGGCCCACAACCATCCAGTCCGGAGGAACTGCTTGAAAGAGAGCGCCACGAAAGAATGCTGCGGTGAGTCATGTTTTTTTTCTTTTATTATCTTTCAATTTTCAATGAAACATTTCTGCGAATCTACGTTTCTACGTTGCAAGTATTCATAATCAATGTTTTTTTATAAAATTTAAGTTGAAAGAAATCACAAAAAATTGGCAGAGATCTTTTTCTACAAAATTATGTTCCTTTAAATTATAAGGAATAATAAAAAAAAATAAGAAGTAATAAAACGGATTTCTTATAAATAAAATACAATATTTAATTATCACTAAGGATAAGAACTTTAGTAGTTAGAAGAGAAAAAAGAATCAATAAGTTTTTTGAATATCAATAGAAATAGTTTTGGTTAGATGATATATTCAACTAGAAATAAATTTCTCTCAATTGATTTTAATCTGTTTTTACATCGAAATAAAAATAGTAAAAGTATATTTATAAAAATGCTTGAAAACAGGTATCGATACATATCCGCGCAAATTTCTATATATTAAAAGTAGATCCGCGTTTCGATAAACGGCTTTAATAGATTTGACGTTGCATTACGTCTTCTATAATCACCTCAGTGAATTGCAACGCGATATGTAACGACGATAAAAAGTTTATTTACCACAGCTACTTTTCCGCTCGACTACGTGCACCATTAATAGCGCTGCCACATGCACGAGCGATTTTGAGTACGCGCATTATAATGCATTGAACAGCAGCGTGACGATGTCATGACTACGTTATGCCAATAATCTAAACCCTAGATTCGCTTTCCCTGTCGACATGAATTATCCACTGTAATCCGTGACGTTTATCGTATCTTTCTTTTGCTCGATCAGTTGCCTCGTCAATAACCTCGACACAGAAACGATCTGAAACGTGCCAATATAACATTTCGATCCAATATCATGATTAACGCGAATTGTCACGCTTCGAGAAGCGTTTTACCTTTTGTTTCGAGTTCCTCGAATATTTGCGAGAAGCAAACGTTTTTGCCCATACGTAATTTACTTGTTTCGCGTGTCCCCGCGACAAAACATTCAGCCGGGCAGTAGATTCTCGAAGGAAACGAGACTATCGTCCGGCATCGGCGAAGTGAATGCCCGACCGTTGTGGCAGCTGCATTCGACGCTTTCTCGCTGGTTCTAGCCGTCGGACTTTCTTTGTCTGACTGCTCTCGCGTGACTACGTCAAGCGTATATACTCGCCATTCTCGTTTCTCGTCGTATGCAGGGAGGGCAGACAGGCGGATGCGCCTGGAAAAAAAAAAAGAAAAAAGAAAAGAGGTGGACAGGACAGGCTCGAGCGTGCGTATCCACAGCCAAGCGTTGCGCGCGCGCATGACGTGTATCTACGTGCGTTTCCGGGCGCCAGCTGCGAGCCGTTCCTCCGACTTCCGCCGGATTATCGCGATAGAGACGAGGCTCGGCCTGAGTAATCGAGTCATCATTCGCGCGGCAATGCCGACAACGAGGCGGTGACCCGAAACCGTCGCTCTTCGGCTTGTATAAATATAAACCGGTAGAACATTTACTAACACCGACGCCACTGATCGACTGACATGTGTCGATGACCCTGCCAACCGTGCGCGCTGTACCTTGCTTGACCTTACCGAAGGCCGCCCGCCAAAACTTTCGGTATCGTTCATTCCTATTATATGCTTCTCCTGATTTCTATATAATAAATCGGCTTATCTTTAAGAGTAAACAGATGAAAGTGATAGCATTAAGAGAATTACATTAACATAATTTTTATAACGTTAAATGTGCCTGTAGCATTGAATCGCAGATTTGTATACAAGTTCTTGGAAAATTTGTTCTCTTTCAGAATATTACGAATACTCTTTGTATGATTATCATAATTGGCAAATCTTTCTCGCGAAGTTCCGTTTTTCAATTATTCATAGTTCAAAGTTCGTCGGGCAGAAAGTTATTCTTGAAAGTATAAAACTTGTATGTACTTTCTTTATCAGTAACAATGGAAACATAGTTCAAGATAGACGTGGACTCGACCATGACTCCACGTCTATCAATGGTGGCTATGTATCGCTTTAATGATGCATCGATCGAAAGAGGCGGTGTGTAAGTTCTGTAAATACTAAGTAAAAGTTGGAATGTTTGAAACTAAACCCGATGAACTTTAGATTACGAATTATTTAAATATAAAACTGCGACAATGCAAGTCACATAAATTGGAAGCTATTGATATCTTGACATTTAGAAAAGATCAGCTCAAAATATCCGGCCTTAGAACTACAGCCGTTGATTTTGACGTAGTCAGTATGAAACTCGGAAGTACTGTTTTCACTTTTATAAAGAGTGAAATCAATTCTATTCAATTCAACTTCTCATTATCAATTTCTCATTGCACCTCGTTATTATGCGTTTTTTGAATTTTTCACAACTAATCGATATGAATAAAAATCGTCTCTCTCTTTCACGTGCTTTTTACGTATCATTGAAGCTAATTCTCGCAACAAATCCAGCGACCTGATCCACAAGATGACTTCAGCGAGCATCTAGGTAGGGATAATTAATAGTCCGTGAACCAAGAACATGACTGAGATATTAAAGCTCTTCTCGTAAGAGCCCAGGCGGAAAAGGGCAACGGAGGGTTTAGGTTGGCAAGGTACTAGACGATGATGACCTCCTACATCGTCTGCCACTGCTGCTACTCATGTTCGGAAGGGAGAGGGGTCAGACAGCAGAGGACGTGCGTCGACTTGACAATATATTACATCAAGTCCGTGCCAAGTCCCTCTAAATATGACGTTGAACGTCGGCTACATTATGACACTTTTTCGGATCACAGTATTTTATTTCGGATGATGAAAAGAAAAAGAGAAATTTACAATCTCTGCATTTCATCGTTTTGCGCTTTTTAGTAACTGTCATCTGAATATTTGCTCACAGACAGATCTCGTGTCTTATTATCTTTAAATTTATTTTTCGTAAAATATTTTCGTGTAAAATATTCAATCGTGTTTCTAAAAAAAAAATGAATTTTTATTTGCCGAAATCTACATTAATAGAGAGGAAAAATAGCAAGAATCGAATAACAAAATTAAAGTTAAACTAATAATGAACTGATAATGAAACTGATAATGAAAACGAAAATTATAATTAGTTACTTATAGCCATCAACAAATAGATTAGTAAATTGTTAAAATTGATGATATACCTAAGTAAGATTTTATAAAATGTTTTTAAAATTTTATTCGTATTAACCGTAGATAATACACACTAAGATCCCTGAAATCACAGCATAATTTTGTCAGTTTGGCATTTTAGCATTTCCGGACTTTTTTTTTAAGGCATTATGTATTTCGAAGCTCTTTAATTCTATCAATTTTTATAAATTATAAGCCTGTTCCTTTATGAATTTTTTATTGAAAAAACTAAAAAAAAAATTAATTAAAATATGTCTTTTTACTCAGATTATGATATGTAATAAAATATGAATGGGATTCCCGGAACCCTAGTATATACTTTACATAGACAAAAAAGGAGTGTATAATAGGATTAAGTAACACTTCTGTTGTATAATTGCTAATTTTTTCGATTATGCAACAAGTTATGATGCTCTCGAGATAATATAGCTTGTTGATATTCCGTGAAAATTAATCTGGCTAAAATTGGAAGCAACAGTTTGTCGGCAGACGAGTTAATCGTCTTCGCATCCTCGAGACGTTTTCAAGGTCGAAGTTGTCTGATAGTATCCGAGAGCGAGCGCTCTCAATTTTCCCTTTCTCTCTCGTCGGGGTACAAGCAAACCCACGGGGGGAATGCCGCAAAAAGAATGAAGACGCGCGGTGAGAGAGCTACCCTAATGACCATCGTGTAGCGACGAAGGTTAACTACGCGGTTCATCCTCCTGCGATCGATATCCCACGTTCTTGTGCGTCTCATCTTCTCTCATTCTGAGATCCCATCGGAGCCGGTAGCACTCGATCACGATGTATTAAAGCTTGATTGATCGATGCATCTTTTTTCTTGCTCAATCCTGGCCTGAGTCACGCGAGACCTGAAATGCGTTCCCGAATACAAAGCTATGGTTAAGATTAATCGTACACAAGCGAAATTATTCTTGTTCCAAGAAAGGCATCATTCTCAGCAACCCTATGAATTAGTTTCAGCAAAAAGCAATACAAGAATTTATCAAAAAGGATTAAGGTTATTAAAAAGTATATTACAGAACCGATGTAATTTTAATTATGTTATAGAACTTGTTTCAAGGATTACGCTGAAATGATGTAAAAATAGAAATTGTGTTGTATATAAATTGCATTATGATAACGAACATGAATGAGGAAGAAAAAAAGACAAATTCATATAATATTTTTAATGACTCGCTGTAAAATATTTGCCAACTGAAGTAAATGTACAAATTATATATCGTCAGATAATAATGTTGCAAGCTAATATCATTCATTAACGAAGCAGGGACTAGAACGTGTTATCAAGCTTCACTTCGCGAAAGCCATCGACAAATTAAGAGCAAATTTACCTGAGATATCGATGAGGAATGTTGTTGCGGAGTTAACCGGGAGAAGTAATCGCTCGTTACGTGTAACGAACAGGTGAAATTGGAAACTTGATAAAGCGGCGATGCGGATCGTCGGCGATCGGTTATCCGCACGAGAGGAGGATCGTCGCAGAACGCAACATTGCATTTGCCGATATCACGCGAGCCTTTTTATGTGTCGACTCGAAACTTCCTGGAATTTCCTGCGGCAGAACATGTCACGGAGACACGCGTATACGCGTTCCAATGCTTTTTCGCGCACGTGGCGTGATCACGAAACAATGGTTCCGGTGAGTTTGCCCCTTAGGCATAAATAGGATCGCTCTTTCGTGTCGAAGTTTCATCAAAGATACCCTAACAACTATTCATGTAAATCATATAATTAGCGTACTGGTATCCCAAATAATGGGAATATTTTACACGAGAGAAAATTACGCAGTAATTTAAATGATTTAGGTAAGAAAGAAATATTATTCTCATTTAAATATTATCAACTAGTCTTTTTTTTT